ATAGCCACACCCTCACCCCTGCACACACACTGACAGCCACGCCCTCACCCCTGCACACACACTGACACAGCCACACCCTCACCCCTGCACACACACTGACATAGCCACACCCTCACCCCTGCACACACTGACACAGCCACGCCCTCACCCCTGCACACACACTGACACAGCCACACCCTCACCCCTGCACACACTGACATAGCCACGCCCTCACCCCTGCACACACACTGACATAGCCACACCCTCACCCCTGCACACACACTGACACAGCCACACCCTCACCCCTGCACACACACTGACATAGCCACACCCTCACCCCTGCACACAGCACAGCCACACATAGCCACACCCTCACCCCTGCACACTGACACTCACATGTACCAACAGCACGCGGCCACGCACACACATCCTGATAGCCCAGGCGCCGGCCTGCCTCCTGCAGGACGCTGTCCCACAGCGCCTCCCCCCAGCTTGGCTTGTGCTTGCTCACTTGGGCTGTTGGTGGAGGCCCTGGCATAGCTTCCTCACACCTCCCTGACTGCTCTGTTCCAGATGGTGGTTCTGCCTCCTTTTTTTTTTTTTGCCAGTTCTGGTCTTGAACTCAGAGCCTGGGCACTGTCCCTGAGCCTCTCTGTGCTCAAGGCTAGTGCTCTACCACTTGGGCCACAGCGCCACTTCTGGCTTTTTCTGTGTATGTGGTACTGAGGAATGAAACCCAGGGTTTCATGCATGCTAGGCAAGCGCTCTACCACGGAGCCACCTTCCCAGCCCAGTCCTACCTCCTTTTGGAGCTAGACCATCAGTCCTGGCCTGAGAGGCCCTGGTACCTCGTAGCTGCCATACCAGGAGACCTGCAGGTGATCTGGGCTGAGTCCTGCCATCTCCCAGCAATCCTTCAGCCTCTGGAGGTGGCTCTTAGATGCCTGTCTTGCTCATCCTCAGGATGGCCTCAGAGCTACCCTGAGACACCCAGGCCTGATAGTGTCAGGGCAGGGGACATGGAGTGGGTTGATGGGTCTCGGCAGAGAGGCATGCCCTTGGAGGTGCATGGGCAGCCGGACGAGGGGTGGTAGGCCGTCTCTCTGGCCTTCCAGAGCCCTGGGGCCTCCACCCGTGGTAGAGGTGGCACTGTCATTGCTCTGGGTGTCTGTGCGTGGGAATCAGGTGAGGGCCTCCTCCAGGGCAGAGTGAGGGGTGCCCAGAGCACAGGCTGGTCTAAGCAGGGCCCCTGCCACACACCCGGAGCAGCCTCAAGTTCTCAGCCTGCCTTCCAGCTGGCTTCCTCAGGGCCCTGCAGGGGGTGGGCAGCGGACGGTGCCCCGCAGGCCTGGGCCTGGCAGGTAGCTCGCAGGGTGGCTCCCGTTGCTCTCCCAGAGGCACCGTCTGCCTCCACTGTGGGCCCTGTGGACCTTGCTGGCGCAGGCCGAGGCGAGGCAGGCCGGTGAGGCTCTCCCGCACCCTCCTGGGCTCCATGGCTCAGCCCTGAGATGCACACCCAGCCCTGCCAGGGCCCCGCAGCTCAGCAGCGGGACATCTATGCCTATGGTGACCAGTTGCCTGCTGGCTGAGGCCTGGAAGGTCTGCGGGGGGTGGGGGGCTGTGGGATGCCCTGGGCGGGGAGGATGCCCACCCCTCCCACCCCCTGGACAGTCCTCTGTGCCCAGGGCGCCCGCCCCTCCCCCAGCACAGCCTCTTCTCAGGACACAGGCAGGCACTGTTCGGAGGCCCCGGGACTACAGAGTGCCTTTGTGGCTGGCGTCTGGGGATGCCATTGGCAGCCCAGGGTGGGTGGGGAGGGGTGAGGGAACCTGAGCCCCGGGTCGGGTCTGTGGCTGTGGACTAGTTGGCGCAGGGCGGGGCTGCTGCGGCCTTCAGGAGGAGGAGGAACAGGTACACTGCGGCTCTCCGTCCTGACCTCCAAGCCCTTTCAGGGGGTCCTCATGTCCAGTCAAGGCCCGCCCCTTCCCCGCCCCCGCCCTGAGCTGCCCTGCTGCATGCTCTGAGGCTAGGGCCAATGTCCTCTGGGCTGGGGACGCAGCTAGGCACTAAGAAGGACGTACTGGCATCAAGGGCATTTAGAGTCTACAGAAGGTGCGGGAGGGGCGGGACCTGTGGGGGCTCTGCCAATATTTGGTCACTGACCTTGGAGCTGGAAAGGAGAGTGGGAACAGCCCAGAGCCGCCCAGGCCTGGACGGGGGACTCGAGACCGCGGAGGCAGCTTGTTGTCTAGGGATCCCACAGTTACCGTGGGGACCCCGTCTTGCACCCAGCCTCCTCCAGCCTGCCCCCACCACAGGAGCCTGGACAGGAGGCCCAGGAGTTGGCCAGGCTGGTGGATAGGACAGACGGTGCTGCAGCCTTCGGTTCTGTTTCCTGTCCCTGCTGTGCCGGGGGTCAGGCTGGACGGCGCTGGGCCATGGGGACCGGTGGGGAAGCCTTGAGTGTGACCGGAGAGGTGGGGTCTCCACCCCCATCTCAGTGAGGGCCACAGGGTTACCCGTCGGTGGCCGGCACACTGTCCAGGGCTGCGCCCACTGCTCCCTGCGCCCCAGCTCTGCAGGGCCAGGCTCATGAGGCTGAGCGTTTGTTCCAGGTCACGTCCGCTTTCTGGAAGGGATGACGGGGTCCTAGAGGACCCCGGCTGGCTGCACACCCGTGGAGGTGGATTGTACAACCCAGCTCCTTGCCTGCTTTCAGCCTCCAAATCCAGCAGCCTCCAGGAGCGCTGTGGAGAGAGGGCGTCAGGAGAAGGTGCCGGGCTTTTGGATAATTCCTGCTGAGACTTGAGGCTCGTAGGATTGCCTGGGCCTCCTGGGACCCATGAACGAGGCTGGGGCTTCCGGGTGGCTCTGCTTAGGCTGTGTGCTTCCTTCAGGCTGTGTCACTGTTCCCCGGAACTGAGGCTGATCCTGACTCCAAAGGCCATGTGTGGGCCCGAGTCTGTCCCTGGGGTGGGGCCCCAGAGACGGACTGAAGGGAGGACCAGCAAGGAGAGAGCCCAGCGGTGCCCTCTGGCCACAGATATTCTGGCTGTATAAACAGGGAGAGGGGCCAGGGCGGGCAGGCCCTGCCAGGCCACTTCCTGGTCACTGTCAGGGCCAAAGCTGGCCAGGGCAGCGGGAGGAAGATGTGGACACTGCTTCCTCAGGGGACCAGAGGTGCCAGCGTAGTAAGGAGCTGGTGATGTGGTTAGTACTTTATAAAGATCATAGGGTTGGGTATGACCACTTTGTACCCCAAGATTCAGAGCTGCTCCATTCCCTCTCTCTGAGGGGCTTCTTTCTGTGCCTGGCTGGCTAAACTTCCTCACCCCAGCCCAGCCCTGCATCTTAATGGGGAAAGTGAGGCTCTCTCCTTCTTTGATGGACACGCACGTGCGCACGCGCTCGCGTGGAGGCTGTGTGTGAAAGGGACTGCAGGGGACGGCCCAGCTTACAGCATTCTGGCTCGCCAGTGAGCTCAGAACCCAGCACAGGTCAGGGCGGGGCCGAGGACCCTGCCCTGCCGGGGAGGCTATTGCAGAAAGCATGCACAGACCAGATCCCACACCATGATGGACCTTGTGTTGCTGGCCTGCTGGGCCCGGGCAGCAGAACACAGCAAGTCCCTGTGGGCAGCGGGTGGCTGCGTGCAGGGTCAGCAGAGCAGAGGTGTCCGCACCAGAGGGCAAGGCCTACCTAGACATCTCTCCCTGCTGTACAAGAGAACTAGACCATCAAGCAGGGACCTTGAGGATGGCAGGAAAACAGGTGTGGGGACAGAAGGAATTTGCTAAGGTGGGTGTCGATGGGCAGTGCCCCAGCGTGTGGAGCCCCAGGGAGCGCTGCGTGTTCCTGCTCACACACCGCCGGCAGCGGGCAGCCAGGGCCTTCTCCTGGCACCAGAGTCATCTCTGGGTTCCATCTACTCACTGATTGTGACCTGGAGGAAGCAACTTCATTCTCTGTGGCCCATTTCCTCATCCCAAAGTGGGGTACCGTGTGGCCCCTCAGAAGCTGGAGAACAGCGGGTGCAAGCAGACGGGACGGGGGGGCAGGCAGGGGTGCGGCTCGCGGCAGGAACATGCAGGGTTGCAGCAGCAGGTAGGCAGGAGAGAGCAGGCATGAGCCGCTTACCCCGAGCCCAACCCTCTGTGTGTGTGTGAGTGTGCGAGCGTGAGTGTGTGTGAGTGTGAGTATGTGTGAGTGTGAGTATGTGTGAGTGTGAGTATGTGTGTGTGCAAGTGTGTGAGAGAGAGTGTGTGAGAGTGTGTGAATGTGAGTGTGCGAGCGTGAGTGTGTGAGAGTGTGTGAGTGTGAGTATGTGCGAGCGTGTGAGAGTGTGTGTGTGTGCGAGTGTGAGTGTGTGTGAGAGAGTGTGTGTGTGGTTTTGCACCCACTTCTGCTCCAGCCTGATAGTGAGGCCAGAGTGCCTTTCTGTGAGATACCCCTCCTGCTTTCCTACCCATCAGGCCGGCCGAGTCTTCCCAGGAAGGAAAGGGTGAAGGGAGAGGAGACAGAACTCTAAGCTCAGGAATCTAGAGGACAGTGAGCAGACCCAGGGTTCTTGGGAGCCAGGCCAGGATGCTGGCCCTGCAGCCATGGCCAACAGTCCCATGTGGCACAGCTAGCCGCCCTGCTCAGACAGCGTGGAGGAAAGCCCTGGAGCCCCTGGCTGGACCCTGACCTACAGGGCACGCGGTAGGACAGACAGGCAGATGAGCCAAATGGGGTTCCATGGAGGCCCATGGCCTCCCTACCTGACTGGACCTGCACAGCTCCTCTTCTCCAGCCCTTGGCAGCCCAGAGACTCATGCCGTCCCCTCTGCTCTTTCTCTTCCAGCTGCTACTGGTGGCCACAGTCCTGGACCTTAGGAGCCACGGCTGCTCTCTGTGTGGGCTGACACCGTGCCTGCCCCTCCCCTGCCCTCCCCAGGCCCCTGCCCCCTAGCCCCAGCCGGGCCCTGCCTGCCGCCAGACCCTGGCATGTCAAGACCTGGCCCGTGCCTGCCTGCCCAGCCCGCGGATCCCTGGCGGCCCCGTGAGCTAGGATGAGGGGCCAGGCCGCCGCCCCGGGCCCCCGCTGGATCCTCACTCCGCTGCTGTCGCTGCTGCTGCTGGGGCACTGGGTGCGTGTGGCTGCCGGGGCGGACGTGGGGCCCGGGGCTGAGACCTGTGCGACGCTGGTGCAGGGCAAGTTCTTCGGCTACTTCTCCGCGGCTGCCGTGTTCCCAGCCAACGCCTCGCGCTGCTCCTGGACCCTGCGGAACCCGGACCCTCGGCGTTACACGCTCTACATGAAAGTGGCCAAGGCAGCTGCGCCCTGCACGGGCCCCGGCCGCGTCCGCACCTACCAGTTCGACTCTTTCCTCGAGTCCACACGCACCTACCTGGGCGTGGAGAGCTTCGACGAGGTGCTGCGGCTCTGTGACCCCTCGGCGCCCCTAGCCTTCCTGCAGGCCAGCAAGCAGTTCCTGCAGATGCAGCATCAGCAGCCGCCCCAGGACAACCAGCTGGGGGTCCTGAGCGGGCCCCGCGGGCCCGGAGACGACTTCTCGGTGGAGTACCTGGTGGTGGGCAACCGGAACCCCAGCCGGGCCGCCTGCCAGATGCTGTGCCGCTGGCTGGATGCCTGTCTGGCCGGCAGCCGCAGCTCGCACCCCTGCGGAATCATGCAGACCCCCTGCGCCTGCCTGGGGGGTGACGCTGGAGACCCTGCCGCCAGCCCCCTGGTCCCCCGTGGGGACGTCTGTTTGAGGGATGGTGTGGCTGGGGGCCCCGAAAACTGCCTTACCAGCCTGACGCAGGACCGTGGTGGGCACAGCGCAGCAGGTGAGTGTTCTGCACAGCCTGTGTTCACACAGGGTGTGAGGGAGGACAGTACCCGGACCCAGGCTGCAGGCTGTGTGCACAGAGAGACAGAGAGAGAGAGAGAGACAGAGACAGAGAGACAGACACAGAGAGAGACAGAGAGAGAGACAGGGAGAGAGACAGAGACAGAGAGACACAGAGAGAGACAGGGAGAGAGACAGAGAGAGCGCACTCAAGGCTCAAGTTCAAGTATACTGGGGGCCTTCTGCTTCCAGGGCAGGAAGCTGGGCGGGGGGTCAGGGGTTGGGGGGGGAGGGAGAGGAGACCTGGCACACAATAGGTACTTGTCGACTTGTCGAGTGTGGAGGGAAGGAACATACAGCAGAGTCTAGTTTCCTCCAAGGGTGAAGTGTTTTCATTCCCAGCTACGAGAGCACTGTGCCTTCTGACGGGCGTAGCCCTGCCTTGACTGCCGGCTGGGGCCGGGGGTGGGGGAGGAGCTTTTGGGAGTGGGCACGGGGTGGCGCGTGTGCTGCATGGGTAGCTGGACTCTCTGAAGAGCCTGCCCAGAGGCAAGGTGCGGTGTCTGCGTGGTGTGTCTGTCTGCTGCAGCTGGCGGTGAGGCTTCTGTAGGTGTTCCAGGTGCCCGGGCCGGACAGTGAGGACGGGGGAAAGCCCTGCTCTGTGTGTGCGACCGGAGGGAAGAGGGCGTGCAGCGCATGGCAGCACGCAGGCCCCTCAGCTGGCTCCTGGGTGCAGAGGGCCCAGCATGCCAACCCTGGGGGCTGCGGTCCTGCTGGGAGCCAAGAGGTTGCCTGGACCAGGGACCTTGTGTGAGGTCTTGAGGTGTGAGGGACAGCACTCCTGGCAGAGGCGATGGCAGAGGCCAAGCCTGTGGTGGGCAGGCGCTCAGCATGTCCTGGGTCCGGGATGGACGCAGCGTATGGGAGGAGCGTTGGTGTTCAGAGCGTGCGTGCTCCTGTGCCGGGCACGCAGCGCATGGGTGGCACCCATAGGCCGGATGGTCACCCAGCAGCGGCAGGTCAGTCCTCACGTGCCTGGATGTGGCGCCCCCATGCCTTCAGGAAGAGCACCTGGGAACTGGGCTGGGGCCGTGGCAGGGAGCGCAAGTGTGAGAGGCACCCGCTGCTCAGTGTGAGGCTGGACTCAGCTCTCGGTGCCGGGAGCGCATGGCGGGGTGAGAGAGGCCTTCAAGAGGTCACTGCAGACAGGGCAGCTTAGCCTTCCCGTGGCTGATAAGGCGTGGACTCTCAGAATAGTCTATAGGCATAAAATAGGCTGTGCGGGGCACAAGGCAGCCAGTGATCCTGAATCTTTGGGCCGTAGATCCCAGATCAAAAACCTCTAGGAGGCCAAATTCTGCGACAAGAGGCAAGGACTTGGGGGAGGCTTCAGCTGAGCCGTGCTGCCCCTCCCCCCCTGGCCCCCAGGGACCTGTGCAGGGCCGAGTCAGCGTGCCAACACAGGGACCGGGAAACCGAGTGGAAATGCTGGGCCCATCGCCCTATCAGGGTCCAGCAGCTGCAGCAGCAGGGAAGGGCTGAGGACCAGCCTTCTGGCCAGGCAGGCTGGAGGTCACTGTGACCTTGGCAAGGACGGTGCGGTGGTACAGCAGAGAGGGGAGTGGGCCTAAGAGGTCCCTGGGAAGAACGGAGCAGCAGAGCGGTGTGCTTGTTGGGGGAGCAGAGAGACGGCCGGAGGCCAGTTCCCGGTGGGAGGACACTGGAGGGCCAGCCCAGCTGTCCCGGGCAGGTCTGCCTATCCCGCTCAGCTGCTGCTGATCACTGAGCTGCTCTGCGCTGTGGTTCCTTCACCTGCAAAATGCCAACCACCTCCCAGGCTGGCCCCAGTAGCTTGGGTGTGATGGATCTCAGGGCCCAGCCCACGGTCACACCCCACAGGCAGGAGCCAATCTTTAGTAGCATCATCACTGCAGAGTTGCTGCCAGGGAGCTACCAGATGCTGCTTGGAGCAGTGCGGTGTGGAGCAGGCTGGCAGAAACTGGCACCTTGGGACAGGCGTGGTGGATGGATGCCTGGGTGTTGTGGGCCAGGGAGTTTGGGGCTGAGGGAGACTCGGAGTTGTACTTCCCTTAATGAGCACCTACTATCATGGCGGGTAGACCAGCTAGACTTCCCCATGGGATGTGCCTGTGACCTGGCAGATGGAAGGGCCTCCAGAGGGCTGGGGACATGCATGGTGCATGTGGGCTCTGAGTGCAGAATGAGACAGAGGCTTGTGGTGGGAGCCAGAACAGAGGGGGCTGCATGGTGGACATTCAGGAAGTGGCTGGCCTGGTCCAGGTACAGCCGTGAAGGCTGGAAAGGGGGTGGGGGAGTTCAGGATCTGAGGACTCAGAATGAAAGGATGTGGGTCTGCCCACAGAGTACGGAGCTGGCCTGCAGCAGGGTACAGTCAGGAGTGGGGACTGAGCTGGGAGACACGGCCAAGGAAGAGCCAGGGGTCAGTGGGTCTTATGGGTGAGAAGCTTGTGGATTACCAGGATAAGGGGTGTGGTGAACAAAGTTCTGGCACCTGGAGTCCCAGGACAGAGCCAGGCTGAACGATCGCGTTTGAACCACGCCTTGGAGCGCCAGTGCCCCTGGCTGTCCCTGTGCTCTGGGCAATCCCGCCAGCTCTCTTCCCCAGGCTGCTCATCTTTAAAACAAGGAGAGTAAAAATACCTTCCTTCCTAGACTGCCATGAAGAGCGAGAGGGTTTGTAGGCTAAAGCAGTGCTGCTGCTGAGATATCCTGTCCTTGTTCATTAGTAGGCAGAGACTCCACCGGGCCCCCGGGGAGACAGATCTCGAAAGCGGCAGGTGTAAGAGAGGAAACCCGGGCAGTTGGGGTTGTGTGTGCACATTCTGGGATAGAATGTTGGGAAGTGCTCAGAAGCAGGTGGGAGGTCCACACATACATGTATGTGAACATGTGAGCCTGTGCATGCATGCATATGAGTATGTGTGCCACGTGTCCACTGGTGTGGGCACATGGCTGCACATATGTGCACATGTGTGTACGTGTGTGCAGCACCGTGCATTGTATGGTTGTGAATATGTCTGGTGTGTGTGCCCATCTGTGTTCATTCACAGTGCAGTGTGCTCATGCACATGTGTGCTACATTCAGTTATGGCATGTGCATGCATGTGCACAACATACTGTATGTGTGTGCAGATTGTAGGTGCATTATGTAGTACTGTATGTATACCTATACAATACAGCACAGGACACATATGCATATTGCATACACTCAAGTTGTGCATGGCTGTGTGGCATATGTGAGTGTATGCATGAAGTGCATTGTGCATGCACCTATCCATGCATTCGGGGATGAAAATATGTGTGCACATGGTGTGTATGTGGTAATCGTGTGCGCACGTGTGCGTTAGGAGTGGGCTCTGTGCATGATTCCATCGGTGTCCTGATTGGAGGTGGCTGTTCAGGGCTGCGGGTCTTGTTTGGAGACAGCACAGGGACCTGGCTGTGAACCATAGGAAGCAGGAGGCAGGTCTTCAGAGATGGGGTGTCCTGTAGTTGCCAAGCTCAGAGCCTGGAGCCCAGCCTGCTCCCAGAAGTCTGCTTGACCTGGGGAAGAGAAACAAGCTGAGCTACGGTAGGGAGGCGGCTTTGTTCCGGAAGCAGCCATGTGTCAATTAGTGTACAGTTCCTCATGCTGCCATGCTGTAGGCTCCCCAGTGGGGCTCCCCTGCCCCGGGGCGTGCACGGGGTGTGCCTCTGCCTGCGGCCCTTACCAGACACCTCGCTCAGACGACAGCTGCTCAGCAAGGCCTGCACTGATGAGCTGCTTAAAGCAGGGGGCTGGGCCTGAGCTCTGTGCCCCTCTGCCCCTTTCTAATGCTGTCACACCCTGTTCACATTTGTCTGTGCCAAAGTGGGAGCACTGTGCGGAGGGGACGGCGTCCATTCCTGGGTGTTTCTCTAGGATGTAGGACAGGGCCTGCACCGCGTCAGGCACTGGGGACGTGCTTCCACAGAGACACCAAGGCACACACGGCGGGGTCACGTGGCAGAGCCAGCGAGCGCTGCTGCTCGGGCTTCTCAGGCAATGAGCACCACTCGGCGGCAGCATGCAGGATGGACACGGCCAAGCGGCCAGCGAGTCTTCAGGAGGCAAAGTTGGGCAGCCTGTCACGCCCAGATCTCGCCCACTGAGTCCTGTGCCAGGGCCTCACTGCCGGTCGGGAGGGGGTGGGACTGCACACCTATCGCCATCCCCTGTGCTGAGCCTGGCCCAGCTAGGAGCCAGAAGGTGGCCTGGCCAGCCTGTGGCCCATTTTCAGCCCTGCCCCCACCAGGCCTTTCCAAATGCCACATGGCCACGTCACGCGTCAGATTCTGCAAGTCCTCCTCAGGCCAGAGCAACTGTCCTCCCTTCGCCCCCCCCCCCACCATGCTGCCAGCCCCGGCGCCCTCCCTCCGTCGCCGCGTCCTCCCTGGCTCTGCATCTCTCCATCTCTGCCTCAGGAGAGATGGAGCATCTCTCTCAAGGGCTGCTTTAAATATTCATGTTTTAATTAGGGAACTTGATTGCAGAAGCGACATGTACCATCATAATAAAAAACAAAAAAACAGTGTCCTGGGAATGGTAGTAAGTGTGTATATGTGTCTCTGTGTATCCCTATGTGTGTGTGTCTACTGTATGTGTCCCTTTGTGACCTTGACTGTATGTCTCTGTTTCTGTGTGTTTCCCTGTGTGTGTCCCTTTGTTTCTATATGTGTGCACACATGCCCGTGGTGTGGGGCCGTGGGCGGCGCTGTGTGTCGGGGTGTGGACACATGCACACTCTGCTGGCGTTCAGGTCGGCTAGGGTGTGAGAGGCTTGACTGACCAACAGGCTGATCTCCCCCCGGTGGGCATCTTCTGGCTGATGACCTCTTCCCAGGGAGGCATGGTCTCCCCAGTCCCTGGACATGTGTCAGGGTCCGCTGGGGTCTGCAGGCCCCGAAGCCGCCAGAACTGGAGCGCAGTCTCGGCTGTGGTGGAATTGCGGGCATGCCAGGGAGCAGGCGTTGACTTGGCATCTCTCATCTCAGTGGGAGACGTTGTTTGCCCAAGAGTCCAGGTGAATCTAGGAAGCAAGGTTTCTGCCCATGCAGACAGCTCTTTCTGTCCAGATGTTAAGAGCAGGGTAGGGATGGTGGAAGCGTCAAGCATGCACAATGCTGTAACAGAAATTCCCACATGCTGTCAATCCTCAGCCAAACCCCCAGCCCTAGCTCAAGGGCCAGGCTCTGGTCATGTTATGGCCTGAATTTGGGTTCCACTTCCTAAAATCCTGGGCAGTCTGTGCCACCAGATCTGATAATGGAGGGGGCGTAGGAAGCACAATGATTTGCCCAGAATCCCAACAATGGCCTGGAGTTCAGGCTTGTAAGCAGCAGCAGCATTCATGGGACAGACCCAGAAATGGCACAGCAAGCAATCCTGAGCCCCTGCAGATGTGGCTTGCTCTGGCTCAGCCAGCCTCGAGTTCCCTTCTGGGAAGTGAGGATGGAACAGACCCTGCTCATGGTCTGGGTCAGGCTTCAAGGGGATGGCTCCGGCAAGCTCAGGAGAGGACAGTGCTCAGCGAGGACTGAAAGCTCAGCTTCACAGCCCAGCCCGGGTCCGACGGCTTCTGGATCCAGGCAAAGAGCTAGGGACTAGGGCCTGCTGGGGAGGGCCAAATGAGGCCTTGGGATTTACCCCCTGCCCTGTCCTTGGTGGTCTTCCTTGCTGTTCATGCAGGGGCTCCGGATCCAGCTCCCAGGTCCTCGGTGCAGAATCAGTCTGGGTTCTCTAGGACAGATGCCTGTTCAGGCTGCTGTCCCTGAGTATCTGGAGACCCGTACCAATACACTGGGAGCTGACCAGCCACCCAGGTGCAGCCAAACCTGCTGGGCTTGGGAGCCCTCTGCTGGATGAGGGTGGTAGTACACATTTCCCCTCCTAAGGGGATCCTGGAAACCCAAGGGGCCTCCCAGAGGGGAACTCCTTCCTTCTATGCCCCCATTTCATCCCATCGAGGCTACCAGATCTGGGAAGCCCACCATCTCCAGGCCCAAGCACTAGGGTGGGAAGAGCACCCAGCTCCCCTTCACTGGGCACCCTCACTCCTGGGTGGCCAGCCGGCCTGCCTGGCGGCCGATAATTGGCTCTATTCATCCCCATAATAAGATGGAAATGAGGCTTCCAGACAGAGGGGGCATTGAGTGGGGGAAGAATGGCAGCTTCTTTCCGGGTCTGGAGGGGCGGCCTACCCCCAGCCCTGCCCCCTTGCGGCCCACCGAGGCCCGATGCACCTCTGTGTCCCCCGGTGCCCTGCACTGTGGGCCCCAGGACTTCTTCCTGCTAACTCCCCTCCTGGCACGGGTGCACTTGCTCAGCAAACATTTATTGAGTATCAGCTGTGTGTGAGGACACACATTAGAATTGAAAATGATAATGATAGCAGTGACCATTTTCTGAGCATTCATTACTGGAGGGAGCGTGGCCAAGGTTAGGAATCAGCATGTGACTGAAATCGGGGCTTAGTACGTGAGCAGGCTCAGAGACCCTCTGCTTGGGATCAGGGGTCAGTCTGTGATGAGGATCAAGGCTCAATGTGTGATCATGAATCGGTGTTATGTTTGGGACCAGAGTTCAGTGTGTAATCAGGGTCAGGGCTCCTATGTGACCAGTTGGAAATTAGTATGTGACCTGGACCTAAGGGGGGCCTCCTCGGAGCCAGGGTCCCCCTCCCCACTCTCTTCTCATACGCTCCGCCTCTTCTCCCATCCCCCTCCCACATCCTTACCACCTGGGTCACCAAGGTAACCAGCCCCGAAATAGTGGGTGTTTTGGCAGCTGAGGCCTAACCTGGGTCTATCCTGAAAGGCTGCGCTCTGCAGTGGTTGCCATGGGAACTGAGTGGCATCTTCCGATTAGCCTGGCTTGGACACCCTTTCTCTCTCCCACCCACTGCCGCCAGTCTCCACATCATTCAGGCTTCCTCGTGGGGGCTGGGCCAGGGCAGCCAGGAGGGCACAGGCAAGCAGGATGTACTCCCTGGACCTTCCTCCGCGATCACAAGATGGGATGCTGTAGCAGGTGAGATTCCTGAGGCGGCGAGCGAGCGTGCGCCTGGACCGCGGTCAGTCCTGGCAGGTGGCCTTCCTGAGGGCTAGGGGGTGGGGCTCTGGAAACTGATCTGGTTCAAGATCTGGAATCTGACCTGGTTCAAACGTGGCTCCCGATTGTCCTGAGTTGAGGCACGTGACCACACACCCTCAGAGCCAGCCACCTGGGCCTGTTCTGTGGGCAGCTGCTGCCCAGTCCTGTCCTGTGCTCACATGGAGGCCTTGCTGAGGACGGCCAGCCTCAGCCCCAGCTCTGCCCTGGGTGTGGGTGGCTGTCCCTGTGCCCGTCTCCCTCAGGCTGTCGGTGTTTGCAGTGGAGAGGAAATGATAGTGATGTCGTTTCCCCACATGTCTTTTATTCCGTCCTTGAGCCCCTGAACCCCCACCTCTGCACCTTGCTGGATTGTCAGATCTCAGGCAAACGTCTCCTTACCTGGCCCTTGACACGGGATCACCCTGTTCCCAGCCTTGCTTTCCTTTGTTATAAATGGGTAGACCTGTGTCTTGTGTTGATGGTCTGGGAGTTGGGGGCCCAGTGCTGGGTCCTCGGCACAGGACAGAGCTCACGCTGCGGGTCGGGGAGGCACCCCTGGATGCCTTTCAGGGAGCTTTCTTGAAGGGTGGGCTAGGGCATGACACCGTGGCACAATTCCTGCTTAGCCTCTTCCTAGCTGAGAATGTAGGTCTCTATTTGCCTCCCTTAGCAGGCTCTGTCTTCCTCTGGCAAGTAGGAGTGTGTGTGGGGGTCTCCTTGTAAGAGGGGTGTCCCACCCCAAGTGAGGAGGGGCTCAGAACCTTCGCCTGAGCCTATCCATGGGCTGCATCCCACAGGTACGTTACGCTTGGAGCAGGGATTGCTAGGATTGACAGGTCTGGCCCTGCGGCCCTAACCCCGCTGCTCTGCATCTCTGGAGTCCATGGGGCCATCATGGCTCCTGGAGGAAAGGGAGAGGGGAAGTTGCTACCACAGGTGTGTGTGGGAGGGGGGAGGACGTCAAAGATGCCCGTTCCTCCCTGCCCACCCCAGTGGGGAGGAGGAGTTCCGTTGGTGACCATGATTTCCTCTCCTACCTCCAGCTACTTGCCTCAGCGCCCCCTGCTGGCGTAGCCCGGGCACAGGCAAGGGATGGGCAGACTAGCTGCATCTCAGTGCAGGCACCGTGGCAGATCTACTCAGACCTAAACCACCATACCCATGCCCTGCCCTTCCCAAGACCTTGCTTGCTGTTTGTCCTCCTGCTGGTCAGATGAGGGGGTATCTGCTGCTGTCCTCAGGCAGAGGGGTGTGAGGCAGGGAGGTGACTCGGGACCCATCAGGGAGGGGGCTGTCCTCTCCCTGGAAAACATCCCACCGCCCCATTATTTCCCTTTCCCCCTACCCCAGATAAGACTGAGGCACTGGGGTCCTCTGACTGCCAGGAGTGCTCTCTCTGGGGTGGACAGGGCAGTTTGCTCTTGATGCCCCAGCAGGCAGTAATGGGTGGTAGCCTCAGCGGTCCTGGCTTCACAGGGGACAGGTGGCAGGGGTGGGGGCCAGAGCACGGCCAGAGCCCTCTGTCCTTGTCAGACTGCTCCCTGCTGTTGGTCCCTGGTGGTGCTCAGGGCTGTGGGCCTAGATTGTCCTCAGTGTTCTTAGAGGTCCAGGGCCACCAGGGACTCAGACACTGTGTTTAGAAGCGTGGCTGCGAGGGGACCAGGTGGTGGGGGTGGCGGCCCGGTGAGGCTGTGGGGTGGGGCCCGGGGCCTTCCTCCTGGGCTCTTCCAGCCGTCAGCTCTCTGTGCCTGGTCTAAGGGAGGGCTCTGCCGGCTGGGTCTTGGATGGGATGCATGGGACCGGGGTGGCTCACAGGCCACAGAGGAGGTAGGGGTGCCAGGCCAGCCAGATTGAGGGTGCCGGCAAGTGGGACCAGGAGGGCCTGGTCAGGTGCTGCTCCTCACCGGCACTCGGTGGCCTGAGCAGCCGTGTGTGTGAGTGTGTGTGTGTAAAACCAGTTCACAAACCTACCTGGGGCTGCACTGGGACCTCGGGGCTCTGGGCTGACCTGAGTTCCCCAGAGGACGCCCTGGGTTGGGGGCGCCGCTCCCTGCTCTCCCCGCCGGCCTCTGCTGACACCTGTGCTAACCCACGCCCTGTCCCCCCATCCCACGCCCCTCTGGCCCTCACCCCCACCCTTGGTCTCCCCAGGTGGCTGGAAGCTGTGGTCGCTGTGGGGCGAGTGCACGCGGGACTGCGGGGGAGGCCTGCAGACGCGCACGCGCACCTGCCTGCCTGCGGCGGGCGTGGAGGGCGGCGGCTGCGAGGGGGTGCTGGAGGAAGGGCGCCTGTGCAACCGCAAGGCCTGCGGCCGTGAGTGTGCGGGGCGGGGCCGGGCGGGGGCGGAGCCTGAGGGGCGGGGCCTGAGTACGGGGGGCGGGGCGAGGCCCAGCAGAGGCAGGCGGAGAGTGGTTGCCGGGAAGGGAGTGGGAGGGGCCCTAGGGTGTGTGGGGCCTCACAGGGTTGGGGGCGGAGCCTCGGGGGGTGGAGCCTGGCCAGGTCTGGTCCTGGCCGGCCGGGACGAGTAAATGAAGATTCCTTGCCCACGGCGGGTTGGGATTTTGGGGGGGGGTGCACCCCTTCTCTTCTTCCCCACCCCGGGAGCACTGGCCAGGCCAGCCCGCTCCAGCCGGATAGGGCCTCCAGAATGTATATCTCTAATAAGGCTTTCTAATGACCTCATGCATTTTTTAGCGGCTCCCATAAAGTTAAATCAAGCCCCTTAATGAGACTGTCATTCTTTGGGTTGTTTCTCGGTGATGAACTTTCCCGGGGAGCAGCTGGTCGGCGGAGCCCGGGAGGCCCGTGGGCAGGGGCAGGGGCAGGTGGGGGCCTCCGCCGGGCCGTCCCGCAGGTGTCCACAGCCCGTGGAGGCCCACAGCACGGGGCTGGGGCCGAGCGGGGCCTCTCGCCTGAGCCCTAGCCGGGTAGAGCCAGGCAGCCCCGGAGCCGTGGCTGGGGACAGAGGGGACCCCGTGGGGACACTGACCTGAGCCCATCCCGCAGCCGCGGGGCGCACGAGCTCCAGGAGCCAGTCCCTGCGGTCCACGGACGCCCGGCGGCGCGACGAGCTGGGAGACGAGCTGCAGCAGTTCGGATTCCCCTCCCCGCAGACCGGTGAGTGGCGCGGTGGGCCGGGCTGGGTTGCGGGACCGGGCTGGGGGAAAACATGCTAAGTTGGTAATTGCTGCTAATTATCAGTAATAACTTTAATAACTTGCCGTAATTAGACCCACTCCGCAGCCTGCCCGGCGCCTGTCTCCGAGCAGACTGGCATTAGGGGAGCCGGTGTGAGCCGGAGTGGCCCAGTCTGGCCCGCTGGAGAAATGGGCGGTCCTCGAGGCCAGCCCGCGGCCGGCCCGGCGCCGCCCCGTGGGCCATGGAATGGCGGGCTGGTGATGCAGCAGGCCTGGGCCCACAGGTGACCCGGCGGCCGAGGAGTGGTCCCCGTGGAGCGTGTGCTCCAGCACCTGCGGCGAGGGCTGGCAGACCCGCACGCGCTTCTGCGTGTCGTCCTCCTACAGCACGCAGTGCAGCGGGCCCTTGCGGGAGCAGCGGCTGTGCAACAACTCCGCAGTGTGTCCAGGTGGGCGGGGCCGGGCCGCGGGGCGGGGCCTGAGGGCGGGGCGGGGCCAGGGCTGCAGGAAGGGTGGAGGCGGGGCAAGGTCCGTCGGGGGCGGGGCTGTGAGGCGGGAGTGGGCGTGGCTTCAACGGGCAGAGTGGGCGGGACAACAGAGCCTTCTTGCCCCTTTGTAGTGCATGGTGCCTGGGACGAATGGTCACCCTGGAGTCTCTGCTCCAGCACCTGTGGCCGCGGCTTCCGGGACCGAACGCGCACCTGCAGGCCCCCACAGTTTGGAGGCAACCCCTGTGAGGGGCCTGAGAAACAAACCAAGTTCTGCAACATTGCTCTGTGCCCTGGTAGGTGAGAGGGAGGGGCTGGAGGGAGGGAGGGCCAGCACCTGGACTTGGCCTGGCTCATCCCAGACCTACCGGGAGCCCGCTGGGCCTCGGCTGGGGGCGCTGACGCTTGTGTATAGGCTGAGTGTTGGGTGGTGGTCCCCTGGGGGTGTAGACCTGTGTCCCAGGCTGGACCGCTGGGTTGCTGGGTGTTCACAAGGCTTCCTTACCTTCCTTCCCCGGGCCGGGCAGTGGATGGAAACTGGAACGAATGGTCGAGCTGGAGCGCCTGCTCCGCCAGCTGCTCCCAGGGCCGGCAGCAGCGCACCCGGGAGTGCAATGGCCCCTCTTACGGGGGCGCCGAGTGCCAGGGCCACTGGGTGGAGACTCGAGACTGCTTCCTGCAGCAGTGTCCAGGTTAGAGCACCTGCCTGGCAGTGGGTGGCCCTCCTGGGGGGGTGGCTATTGGTTGGGCTGCAGGGTGGGAGTGGAGGGCAGGGGGTTGAAGGTTACCACTGCACAGGAGGTATTCCTTTCTGCTCTGTGGAAGCTAACTTCGGGCTTCTCTCCTTGCCTCTATTTTCTTTCCCCACTGGTTCCCCCATGTCTCGGTGTGTCTCCCATTTCTGTGTTGTCTGGTTCCCCACGGTCCTGTGTCCCTGCACCCCTCCTGCGACCTGCACCTGGGGGTACGGGTGTCCCCGCAGTCGATGGCAAGTGGCAGGCCTGGGCATCGTGGGGAGGCTGCAGCGTCACGTGTGGGGGTGGCAGCCAGCGACGAGAACGTCTCTGCTCTGGGCCCTTCTTCGGTGGAGCAGCCTGCCAGGGCCCTCAGGATGAGTACCGGCAGTGTGGCACTCACCGGTGTCCTGGTGAGACCTGGCCCATACCACACAGGGCTCTAGGAGGAGGCTGGGGGCAGTGGGGTGGCTTTGCGTTTAGTTTCGTTTAGACATCTTGTCTGCGGACCTTTGCCAGCTCCTGGCCTCAGCTCTGCTCATTGTCTTGCCCCCCCCTACCCCGGCCCCCCAGAGCCCCATGAGATCTGTGATGAGGACGGTTTTGGAGCAGTGGTCTGGAAGGAGACTCCAGCTGGAGAGGTGGCTACAGCCCGGTGTCCTCGCAACGCTACAGGTGAGAGGGTGATGTGGGCTCCCGTCCCGCCTCGGGGCGGCGCTACTGCTCCTGTGTGAGGCCTGAGGCCCAGGCAGCCCCGCTCTGTGGGTGCCAGGGGACAGGGGCCGGAGTGGGTGGCAGCCACGGTCTTGGGTGTTTACCCAGGGCAGGGCCCATGCCAAGGCCTCTACATGAGACATTCCCTTGATCCTCTAACCCATGAAGTAGCCACTGTTGTCCATTTACTGGTGAGAAACCGAGGCAGGAAAGTCAACATACTCTAGGCTTGTGTGGATTGGGAGAAGCGTCCCTTGAACACCAGCAGCTGAATCCCTAGATCAACTCTGAGGAGTGACAGGCACGCTTGGGCTTCCCAGAAGGGGCTTGGCTGTAGCTGCATGGATCTTCATTACTCTTCCTATTTGAACGGGTACAGGTGGCTTGTGTACCCGAGAGACTACAGACAAGGAGATTGGCTCTGTCCTTGTTTGTTATGTGGCCTGGGTGCTGGTCTCTCAGGGACTCTGGATTGGGGGGCCCTGAGAGAGGGCCTGGCTGGGCTCTGGGCCCCCAGGAGCTTGGCGGAGAGCTCCACCTCTGTGCAGTGTGGTCCTGGAAGGCTTGATGCCTGCTGGGTCCCCAGCATCTGGAGCAGCTCAGAAATGAGTGGCACGAAGGGGAGAAGGCCGGCCTGGCCCTGCTTCTGGGGGCTGGAGGATCCTGCGCAGAGCTGCCGGCCCGGGAGCCGTGAGTGGGCCCTGTGCTCAGCGGTGAGCGTCCTCCTGAAAAGCAAGAGGTCTCCGCAGGCCTCATCCTGCGCCGCTGTGAGCTGGACGAGGAGGGCATCGCCTACTGGGAGCCGCCCACCTACATCCGCTGTGTCTCCATCGACTACCGCAACATCCAGATGATGGTGAGTGCCTCCCCGCCTGCACCGGGGACTGTCCCACCCAGCGCGAGGGTGCAAGGTGGGGGCTGCCGAGGCTCCTGCGCCCCCTGCACCGCCCCGGAAGGGATGTGCATCCCATCCTCCCCGTCCTCCGCAGACCCGTGAGCACCTGGCCAAGGCTCAGCGTGGGCTGCCAGGGGAGGGAGTGTCGGAGGTCATCCAGACGCTGGTGGAGATCTCCCAGGATGGGACCAGCTACAGTGGGGATCTGCTGTCCACCATTGACGTCCTGAGGAACATGACTGAGATCTTCCGGAGGGCCTACTACAGCCCCACCCCCGGGGACGTGCAGGTGGGCTCCCGGTGACCGTCCGTGGAGAGGAGTGCTGGGAGGTGGTTAGGAGAGCCGTGCCAGACCCCGTCCATGAGCAGGGCTGTGGCCTGCCAGAGCAGTGAGCCCCGAGCCTAGACCAGCTTGAGCTGGCTCCCACGGAGCCCTTACCCTGCTCACATGCTGAACCCTGGTCCTTGTCTCACGCTGGGCCCGGACCCTGCGCCCCCGACCGTGAAACATTTCACACGCATACCTCGCTCTCTCTCCCTGGCCCTTTTTCTCATTTCCAGAACTTTGTGCAGATCCTTAGCAACCTGCTGGCGGAGGAAAACCGGGACAAGTGGGAGGAGGCACAGCTGGTATGGATGGGGCCCCAGGGCTCTCGTGGTCAGCTGTGTCCGGATGGGCGTGGGCATCCTGGTGCCTCCCTAGGTCCTAGGCCAGCCATGTGGGGCCTCACTGAGAACCACAGTGTCTCTGGGTCTGGACCCCAGCATGGCGGCCTTCCGCCGACTGCGTGACATTGAGCCACTTTACCTCCTGTGTGGAGGACGGTGGCCTGTCCCTGGGCTGAGTGAGGCGAGCAGGAACTGATTGAGTGTGACGTGCATGTCCAGAGAGCCGGCCATGGTGGGCCTTCCTTACTTGTGAGGGGAGGCCAGCCTCCCTTCCTCCCAGGCTGACCCAGGCCTGCCACCACATCCAGCATCCAACCCCAGAACTGTGCCAGACGTGGGGCCCCGGAGATCCTGACCCTGCTCCCAGCCTAGGAAATCCCATGTGGGAGCACACAGCTCCGGGGGCTCCAGTGGTAGTGTCCACAGAGCACGGCAGTCAGAGAGCCCTGTCCCTGCCTCCGGCGCTGGTTCATCACCAGCAGGGGCCAGAGAAAGGGAACAACGGAGGGAAAGGAGGCCCAAGGGACCCCAGCTGGAGTGCAGGTGTCCTCCCTCAGCTCTGGCTGCTCCCCTAGATGGGCCCCAACGCCAAAGAGCTCTTCCGGCTGGTGGAAGACTTTGTGGACGTCATTGGCTTCCGCATGAAGGACTTGAGGGACGCATACCAGGTGACAGACAACCTGGGTAAGCCTCCCTCGCTCTCCGGCCTCTCCACCTTGCTCTCCGCCCCCACCATGCCCTCGTTCTGTCACCCTGGACAGGGATTCTGTGTCACTTTCCTCATGGATACCAGGGTGGGGGTCGGGGGGACCACCAACCCTGTGGGGCCTCTGGAGCCATGTCTTACATCTCACAGCCTGTGTCTTGTTTCTGTTGTCTCTTGAGGGCGTGTGGTGGGAGCTGGGGATAGAGCTGAGGCCCAGGCAAGGGTTGGGGACTTCATACGGGGGTGTGGGGGGGTGGGGAAATAGGAGCCCCGCTTACAGTTGGGAACTTAACCCCCACCTAACATGGAGCAGTCTGCAGCCCCAAAAGCCTTGCTGGGGGTTCTGGACCTCCCTAACCTATGGCCTCAGCCAGGTCTATTTTCTTTTTGGGGGTCTATTTGTGCCTACCTTCTGGGTTCAGGGTGAATGGCTAAGTTAAGAAGCTTGGGGGGGCGGGGCTGGGAAGGTGGCTCAGTGGTAGAGCGCTTGCCTTGCATGCATGAGGCCCTGGGTTCGATTCCTCAGCACCACATAAGCAAAAAGAAAAAAAGCCGGAAGTGGCACTGTGGCTCAAGTGATAGAGTGCTAGCCTTGAGCTGAAGAGCTGAGGGTCAGTGCCCAGGCCCAGAGTTCAGGCCCCACAACTGGACCCCCCCCAAAAAAAAGAAGCTTCCGGGACCTGGGGCTGAGTGGTCCTTACAGACACGTGCACAATTCCACCATCTTCCCCTCGCCTTCTCACATCTCCTGCCTTGGTCAGAGACCTTCCTACCCGCCCCTGCCCCACACAGGGGACCTGGGAGAGGGCCCTGACCCCAGCTGTGAACCCAAAAACCTCAAGGAGGCGTTTTGCCTCTCTCACGGGGAGACAGAGATTGTCTGAGCCTTGGGGGAACACCCCAGGCCTCTCCCCAGTCTAGCCCTGTGTTAAGGTACTGTAGCAGCAGACACAGCTGCACTGGGCAGATGTTTCCTAGGCAGAAAGTCTGGTGCTATACTCTGTCTGCCTTAGGAGCTCAGGGTTCAGACCCTTCAGGAGCCTTCGAGGCTGTGGAGAGCAGCCTCATTCCTGAGGGACCATACCAGACACTGTGGGGGCCACCTGGAAAATAGGCCAGCAGAGCTACAGCCTGGAGCCACGGTTCTGCCAGGGCCCTGCCCTTTGCCTAGCACTGTCCATGCCTCTGGAGGGTGCTACCTGCCTTCCAGAGCCTTCCCTGGATGGACAGACACTCAGAGACACCTTTGGTTACCACAGGAGGCCTGGGCCCCTCTTAGTGCCTGTGTACCCTGAATTCCATGCGCCCATGCAAGCTCTTCTCTCCTTCCCCACTTACCTCATGGACCCCATGATCCCTGCCCACCTGCTGTGTCTGTCCCTCCACTCATCCCCCGAGCTACCCCTTCATCAACAGAGGGCTCTGCCTCCAGCTCCTCCCTCCTGCTCTTCTAGGGCTGTGGCACCCCTCTGTCCTGGATGGTTCTTTTGTCCACTGAGCACTCTGCTGGAGCCCAGGCTCCACTGGCCTTTCCCGCGGGGCCTCTGCCGGGGCCTCACTCTCTCAAGGCCTTAAGCAGTATCACATCGATGATGTGTCTGTGGCCTGGACTTCCCTGGGTCCAGACATGGAGGCTCCTGTACTCCCCGTGTCTGCAGGCAACCCGGTGGGCTGTGCAGTCAGGACTCAGGAGCTGCTCCCCCTGGTGGGCAGAATCGGGAAGTCCCCTCCCTTCCTCCCTCTGAGCTACCCTTGGGGCCCACACATTTTGGGGTGGTAGATGTGGCCTGTCAGGAACTGGTGGCCACAGGGAAGGGGTGACATCTCCACGCTGGGTAGTCAGGAAGTCCTGCCTGCAGGGCAGAGAGGGTGACAAGATAAAGACCCGAGGATGGGTACAAGGGGTGAGAGTCAGGAGGTAAACAGCCAGGAGAAGCAGAGGAGGAAGGAAGAGGCCGCAGTACAGGGCCAGGGGTCAGATGAAGACAGGAACTGGAGTTAGGACAGTACATGGGGAGGGACTGCCCTGCTCAGGGTGGAGCAGGTCTGAGGCTGATACGGGCTGGGGACTGGGTAGGCTGAAGCCCAAGGCCCAGGGATGGATCCCCCCCCTGCCCCACAGAGGCCAGCTGGTTTCGTGCTTCCCTACGCTCTTCTCCTGCTGCCCCCTCCCACCCCGAGCAGAGGCCCCCACACCCGATGTCCTTTTTCCCAGAGGGCCAAGTCTGGCTCCTCCCCTCCCACTTCCGTGACATTGCTTTGTATTGCTCTTGCTCTGTGATGCAGTGTCTCCTCCATCCTGCACAGAGTAGACCTGGTAACCCACCTCTGACCCCTTCCTGGATACAGGGGGCTCTAGGCACTTGCTTGCCTCCTGGAATAGGGGCTGCACAGTGAGTTTAGGGAGCTATGCACATGGAAGTTGAGGGCCCAAGGCTGCAGTAGAAGCTGGAGCATCACGGTTGGTACCGGACTGGTCAGGCAACCCCTACCCCTCACCAGTGCCCCCTACCGGCCTGCTCCCTGGCTCTGCAGCTTCTGGCATTTGACCCTCTGTCTCTGTCTCTTCTCTGCCCTGACCCAGTGCTTAGCATCCACAAGCTGCCAGCCAGCGGGGCCACCGACATCAGCTTCCCCATGAAGGGCTGGCGGGCCACGGGCGACTGGGCCAAGGTACCGGAGGACAGAGTCACTGTGTCCAAGAGTGTCTTCTCCACAGGGCTGGCAGGTAAGGCCCAGGAGTGGGAGGGGCCTCTGGGGGGCAGTCATGGGCCCCAATCTGAGCAGCCCTCTGCTGCCTGTGAGTGTCAGGAGGCAACCCTGACAGGAAGCCCTCCCTGGGGGCAGAGCCTAGGACGGGTAACTAGCTAGACAGGGTGGACAGACATGTAGCCTGCTGCAAGGAGGAGAAGGGCTGGGTGGACCACATGGTAGCAAGCATGCCTGTCCCCAAGCCTGTCCCCCTCCCCATCTGGGCCTACATTCTCGGCAGGCTCTGGCTACAGTGCTCCACTTGGGGGTGGGATGGGCCTCTGTGGCCGGGGCCATCATGTGACCCCATGAGGCCAGCGAGGCAGGGTCAGGGTGACCGGGTGCTCCCTTCCAGAGGCGGATGACTCGTCTGTGTTCGTGGTTGGCACTGTGCTGTACCGGAACCTGGGCAGCTTTCTGGCCCTGCAGAGGTGGGTGATGGGGTAGGGGGAGGCTGGGAGACCAGGGGAAGCGTAAGAGAGAATGGAGGGCCAGGCATGGCCCTGGGAAGGCAGTCTGGGCATGGTGGTGGCAGGTGCAGGACCATCTGCCACATGGGGGGCAAGGGCCCGGAGGGGACAGCCTAGGGAAGGCTGCAGGGCCAAGCAGGCCAGTTCCTGACGGCTGCTGCTGTGTTCTGCACCAGGAACACGACTGTCCTCAACTCCAAGGTCATCTCGGTGACGGTGAAGCCTCCTCCTCGCTCCCTGCTCACGCCCTTGGAAATCGAGTTTGCCCACATGTACAATGTGAGTGCCCTCCTCCCCGACCCCATGTGCGGTGTGTGTGCCCTTTGCCCGTACCCCCATCTGTGCCCCATGTATGATGTGCATGCCCCCACTTGTACCCCACGTTTGGTGTGCGTGGCCCCCACCCATATTCCATGTTTGGCGTGTGTGGCCCCCGCTTGTACCCACATAGAGCGTGAGGGCCCACTGCCCATATACCCTCGTGTGTGCACACACATCGTAGCACCTTTGTCTGGGCCTGTGGGGGGTCTGCTCCCGGTTCTCAGCCACCACCTGTGGTATCTTAGCCTGGCTGGGTTGTGGAAGGGAAACAGAGGCTTGGAGTGGTGCGGTGACCCATACAGTGGGTGCAAGTGTTGACATGTACCTTGTCTGTCCCAGCATCCAAGCTTTAGCCACACAACCACTGCCACAGACCTGTCCCCCTGCTGTCCCCTTGGGAAACAGGCCCACTGTCTGCCCAGACAGGGCTCCTGCCTGAATTCACAGCCCCTCTGCTGGGCCCCAAGAGCTGGGGGCCAGGCCTGGCCTATTCACCCAAGGCTCTCGCTGCCCTGGATGCTCAGTTTTCTGTGTCCAGAGTGCCCTCAACCCAATCCCCAGGCTGGCTGACCACCAGACTTAACCATGCAAGACCTCGGTGTGTATTCCAGGACATTGCTGTGTGGCCCAACCAGACATGAGGAGATGGCTGTGATTCCAGAGAGGCATGGGTCCCATCAGCCTTCCCCAGGGCCTCAGGAGGGTGACAGAGAGGTGCCTGCAGCCCAGGTGCCCTGGCCCTGGATGAGCTCAGCCAGAACCCACCAGGGGCCAGATGCTCAGGTCGCCTGGCCAGAGCAGGGCAGTGCCAGGTGGCACACCCTAGCTGTGGGAAGCTGTGGGATTCAGCTCTGTCCCTTCGGTGACTCGGGGGCATTGCTCAGCCTCCCTGCCCCTCTGTTCCCTTGATCATCAAATGTGTGAGGGCCGGGCCCTTCCTGTGCCAGGAGCATGTGCAGAGTGGGTGTGAGCATGTGCAGAGCGGGTGTGAGCTTGTGCAGAGCAGGTGTGAGCAGGTGCAGAGCAGGTGTGAGCGTGTGCAGAGCGGGTGTGAGCAGGTGCAGAGCAGGTGTGAGCATGTGCAGAGCAGGTGTGAGCCTGTGCAGTGCAGGTGTGAGCGTGCATAGAACAGGTGTAAGCATGTGCAGAGCGGGTGTGAACAGGTGCAGAGCAGGTGTGAGCGTGTGCAGAGCGGGTGTGAGCGTGCATAGAACAGGTGTAAGCATGTGCAGAGCGGGTGTGAGCAGGTGTAGAGCGGGTGTGAGTGTGTGCAGAGCATATGCAGAGTGGGTGTGAGTGTGTGCAGAGCAGGTGTGAATGTGTACGAGCGGGTGTGAGCATTCCAGAGTGGGTATGAGCGTGTACAGAGCGGGTGTGAGTGTGTGCAGTGGGTGTGAGTGTGTGCAGAGTGGGTGTGAGCACTCCATAGTGGGAGTGAGCATGTGCAGAGTGTTGCAGAGCAGGTGTGAACGTGTGCAGAGCGGGTGTGAGCGTGTGCAGACCATGTGCAGAGTGGGTGCAGAGCCTTTGCAGAATGGGTGTGAGCATGTGCAGAGCGGATGTGAGCATGTGCAGAGCGGGTGTGAGCGTGTGCAGAGCAGGTGTGAGCGTGTGCAGAGCTGGTGTGAGCGTGTGCAGAGTAGGTGTAAGCAGGTGCAGAGCGGGTGTGAGCATGTGCAGAGCGGGTGTGAGCGGGTGTGAGAATGTGCAGAGCAGGTGTGAGCAGGTGCAGAGCAGGTGTGAGCATGTGCAGAGCAGGTGTGAGCAGGTGCAGAGTGGGTGTGAGCGTGTGCAGAGCGGGTGTGAGCCTGTGCAGTGCAGGTGTGAGCATGTGCAGAGTAGGTGTAAGCAGGTGCAGAGCGGGTGTGAGCGTGTACAGAGCAGGTGTGAGCAGGTGCAGAGTGGGTGTGAGCGTGTGCAGAGCAGATGTGAGCAGGTGCAGAGCAGATGTGAGCAGGTGCAGAGCAGGTATGTGCAGAGTAGGTGTAAGCAGGTGCAGAGCGGGTGTGAGCGTGTACAGAGCAGGTGTGAGCAGGTGCAGAGTGGGTGTGAGCGTGTGCAGAGCAGATGTGAGCAGGTGCAGAGCAGGTGTGAGCAGGTGCAGAGTGGGTGTGAGAAGGTGCAGAGCGGGTGTGAGCGTGTGCAGAGCAGATGTGAGCAGGTGCAGAGCAGGTGTGAGCAGGTGCAGAGTGGGTGTGAGCAGGTGCAGAGCGGGTGTGAGCAGGTGCAGAGCAGGTGTTGCCAGTTCACGCCTCACCAGCTGCGGGCTGGCAGGGGCGCCGCGCAGGCGTGCTCTCTGTTTGCACTTGCTGCACTGGGAACGTGAGCAGTCCTGGGTGTCCACTCAGCCCTCCCTCACCCTGGTGAGGGGCTGTGTTCTTGTTGGACGGCTTTAGCCATGTGGACAGGAGGCTCAAGGCCTCACTGTGGCAGTGGGTGGCCATGTCTCCCTAACCTTGGTCTAGTCCTGTTCACAAATGACAGTCTCCCCGGGACCAGCACTGGCAGTGTGCCTGGTATGCTTGTGGACACCCGGGCGTAGCCCAGCCCCTGGGGAGAGGGCTGGCGGGCACATACTTTGGTGGCCCTGACTTCCCCTTCTCTCCCAGGGCACCACCAACCAGACCTGTATCCTGTGGGACGAGACAGACATGTAAGTTCACGGGGCCTCGTGCCAGGGGGATGTGCGGCGGTGCCGTGGGGGTGGGTGGGGGTTAAGTTGTGGGGCCCTGGCCCCTCTCCCCCCATCTCTCTATGTGCTCTGGCAGTTCTCACTGTTTCCTGCTCTTGAGCTAGTGGCCTACCTCCAAACCCACCCTGCAGGGTGGTTGGATCCCACCCGCGTGCCTGTCCTGCCCAGAGCCGTCCAATGCTGGTGTTAGGTGGCGAGTGCGAGGCACAGAGAGGCTAGGAGGTAGCTGCTAGGAAGGGTGGCCTAGAGGAGGAGCTGAGACTCGCCAGAGTGACTGGCTGGGCGCCCTTGCCGGGTGCCCGCGGCCTGGCCCTGGCCCTTAGCCCTTGTGAAGCACCTTATAAGCACTTGGGCGGGAGGCCAAGCCATGTGTGGAGCTGGGAGTTAGGATATTGATCACAGGGAGGGCAAGGGGAGGGGGAGGGACCTTTTGGAGGGGTGGACAGGGCCAAAAGAGCTCCCCAGGAGACCAAGAGGGCCAGGAAGTGTGGAGCTTTCCAGAGTGCACAGGGGCTGGGCACGCAGGCTTTGCGAGTACCTGGGCGGTGCAGTGGGGGTGGGGTGGCGCCACCTGCCTGCCTGGGTTTGAACTGAGGACCTGGAACTTGCTCAGCTATTGTTCTTGGGCTGGAGCCCTGTCTACAGCCTGGATTCTTGCTTGATTGTTGATGGTGGAGGCTCATCGACCTTTGTCCTGACTGGCTTTGCATCTCAGTCCTCTGGATCTCAACCTCCAGAGTAGCTAGCACTGTAGATGGGAGCCGTGGGAGCCCAGCCCTGCCCCTGGGTCTTCTCCAGGCTAGACAGGGTGTGAGTGTGCCCGGTGACTCTGGAGCTGTGTGCTCTGCGGGTCAGCTTCCCTGGTGGTTGGCGTGGAGAGGAGAGGCCTAGCAGAGGGAGGCCGTGAAGGGGAGGGGTTCTTGGGTCTAGTGTCCTGGGAGATAGAAGCTGTTGGGAGGTCTGACCCTGTGAAGCCTGGGCCTCCACCCTCTCCATGCCAGTGAGGAGAGGCAGAGCCCCAGGACCAGGGGTGCAGGGCCAGGCCACACCGCCCCACTGGCTCAGACACTGGACTCCTCTGGCCTTTCCGCTGGCTGCTGGCTGAGGTTGCTGCCCGTCAGTTTGTTCCGGCTTTGCTGGTGGCTTAAGCTCTTTGTTTTGGAAAAGGATGGAAAAAGGAAGAACAGATGAGGACGGAGTCCCTTGGCTCCTGGTTGCTGGATGGGCAACTTGGGGCATCCTGGACTTTTGTCTTTTTAGGGATGGAGGTGGGGCTGGAGCTGACAGTGGTCTTCCTTGCTCTGGTGCAAGCCACGCCTAGCCCGGACATCTCGCTCTGCAGCTCCTGGGGGGGGGTGACCCAACCAGCTCTTACCGGCCTTCCCCCTCTCTGCCAACACAAGCGCTAGCGTAGCCCGTGTCCCAGCAGGGACAGCCGGCCTGCCCAGCCTGTCACTACTTCCCAGTGAACCAAAGACAGTGCCTGCCGGTCTGTGGCCCAGGAGGCCAGGCTGTGGACCATGGACAGATTCTGCCCCAGAAGCCTCAGCTTCTAGTCCCTGGGATGGGAGCCTGCCTGTTCGGGTGGTAGTGGAGTGGAGTGGAGTGGCTAAAGGACCATGGTCAATTGTGTGGGATGCTGGGCGTGGCCTCCTCCTACCCACCTTCTCACAGCCTTGAGTACCCCTGACACACCCATCTCCTGAGCATGCCTGGAGAATGGGACCATGAAAGGCCTAACCTCAGGCAGAGTAGGGAGGCACAGTATGGTTGGGTGGTTGGTGGAGCCCCGGCCGCAGCCTGCACGCAGGTGCCCCCCAGGCTGGCGCCGGGCACACAGAGCACCTGCAGCTGCAGCCGGGGCCTCCAGAGCCTGCCGGCCGCTGAAAGTCCTGTGGTGATGGAGACCCCCCACAGGGGGCACCCAGAGCCCAAGAGGCTGAGTCAGAGGCTGACAGGAAGGTAGAGCCCCCGTACCTCCCAGCCCCCGCCCCCGCCTCACTCTGCTCCGCTCCCTATTGGGCAGCTCTTCACCTCATGGCCGATGGTCACTTTCTCCCAAGAGGAAGGCCTGGCCTGCTGCTGCCAGTGTACCCAGGCGGGTTTGTGACGTTTGGACCTGTGCCTGTGCCCTGGTGGAGAAGGATCCAGGCATCCGGGGCAGTGCTGATTGTAAGGAGGGCAGGGCCGGCACCTGAGACCCCAGGGGCTGGCTTCATAGCTGCAAGGTGTGATCCATAGCAACCCAGATCCTCCTCCAGGATGAGCCACAATTCCTGACTACCCAGCCTGAGTTTGACCATAGTTCTACGCAGGGTTCAGACACCTGCACAAGCTCTGGACCTAACCACAGTCACAAGCCGAGCTCTGCACCTGCTCAGAGCCCAGACCTCGTTCACACCCTAAACTCTCACTCTGGTCACACTCCAACCCTAATAAAAGTGATCCTGATCATACACTGAGCCCTGATCCTGTTCACACTGAGCCCTGACCCTGTTCACACTCAGCCCTGACCCTGCTCACACACTGAGCCCTGACCCTGATCATGCTCTTGAGTCCTGACCCTGATCACACTCTTGAGTCCTGACTGCTCACACTGAGTCCTGACTCTGCTCACACACAGAGTCCTGTCCCTGCTCACACACTGAGCCCTGTCCCTGCTCACACACTGAGCCCTGTCCCTGCTCACACACTGAGCCCTGTCCCTGCTCATACACTGAGTCCTGACCCTGCTCACACACTGAATCCTGACCCTGTTCACACACTGAGTCCTGGCCCTGTTCACACACTGAGTCCTGATCCTGATAACACACTGAGTCCTGACCCTGCTCACACTCTGAGCCCTGACCCTGTGCATACACAGACCCCTGTCCCTGCTCACACACTGAGTCCTGACCCTGCTCACACACTGAATTCTGATTCTGCTAACACACCGAGTCCTGACTCTGATCACACACTGAGTCCCGACCCTGCTCACACACTGAATTCTGACCCTGCTAACACACCAAGTCCTGACCCTGCTCACACACTGAGTCCTGACCTTGCTCACACTGAGTCCTGATCCTGATCACACACTGAGTCCTGACACTGCTCACACTGAGTTCTGACCCGGCTCACACTGAGTCCTGATCCTGATCACACACTGAGTCCTGACACTGCTCACACTGAGTTCTGACCCAGCTCACACTGAGTCCTGATCCTGATCACACACTGAGTCCTGACTCTGCTCACACACTGAGTGCTGAACCTGATCACACTCTTGAGTCCTGTCCCTGCTCACACAGAGTCCTGACCCTGCTCACACACTGAGCACTGACCCTGCTCACACACTGAGCACTGACTCTGCTCACACACAGCATTGACCCTGTTCACACTCTGAGTCCTGATCCTGCTCACACACTGAGTCCTGACCCTGATCACACATTTAGTCCTGACCCTGATCATACACTGAGTTCCGACACTGCTTACACACTGAGTCCTGACCCTGCTCACACACTGAGTCCTGAGCCTGCTCACACTGAGTTCTGACCTTGCTCACACATTGAGTCCTGAGCCTGCTCACACTGAGTTCTGACCCTGCTCACACTGAGTCCTGAGCCTGCTCACACTGAGCCCTCATCCTGGTTACACACTGAGTCCTGAGCTTGCTCATCCTGCTCACACACTGAGTTCTGACCCTGCTCACACTGAGTCCTGAGCCTGCTCACACTGAGCCCTCATCCTGGTCACACACTGAGTCCTTTATTAGTGTGAGATCTGCTTTGCACACTGCACCCTGACAGGTCACCAGCAGAGCCTGCTCTGTGTCTCCGTGGAAACACTGCACGTGGCCACGCACGTTCTCTGTGTGTCACATGCTTGCAGGGCTTCCTCCTCTGGCCACAGGCGGCAGCTGTTAGTGTGGCATTCATCTTGCAGTGAATACGCTGGGGGCTTCCACACATCCGCTCTGCCCTGCCACCAGTGACTCCGCAGCTGCACCCCGGGCTCAGCTCCCCACTCCTCGTGTCCGTGACTCTGTCGCCCTGTGTGGTGGCCCGCAGGCAGTGTTCGGTGACCTGGTCTGGCAACCCAGGCCAATGCTCAGCTCAGCCATTCTGACCCCCGGGCTTTTTCCCCCCTTTCCCCCACCTGACCAGTGGGAGCAAGGCCTGGGGGCATGGGTGAGGGTGAGAAACGGGGCGTGGGGGCTTGCCAAGCTGAGTCCAAGCCAGAAGAGACCCCTGTGGTGTGACACCCCACCCCATCCCAGCCACATGTGAACAGAGGGACCGGGCAGCTGGGTCCCAGTTACCACTGCCCCCTAACAGGGAGGGATGGACCAAGGCCTGGCCCTGCTTCCAGGCCTCCACTCGCACCCCAGATGGTCAGGGTGGGCAAGCAGGGTGGACACTCCCAGAACACAGGATGGACATCCGGGGACAAGTACAGGGAAGAACAGATGACTACAGATGAGTGACCAAGTCAAGGTTGAAAGGGGGCAGACAGACCGAGGTTGAGTGGGTGCTTGGATGGAGTGAGCCATTCAGAGGAGGATGGAGGAGGACTGGAGGGTGGGTGTCAGTGTCCAGGGCCCCAGGCACACGACTCAGGTCACTGCTGGTGGTGAGCCTAGTCTCTCACAGTCCCAGGGACTCACATCAGGCCACCAGCGGCCCGAGGGAAGACCTCTCGTGCCTCTGCTGGTCCTTGTGGCCCCGGGCAGGCAGCCCTGCTGTTCCCTGGCTTGTGATGGCCTCATACAGACTCCCCATCTTTGCACAGCGTCTTCCTTCTGGGTCTCTGGGTCTTCTCCTCTGTTTCTGGGGACCCCAGTCACTGAGTCTGGGGTCGATTGGCATCAAGATCCCTAACTCAGTGACACCTGCAAAGCCCCTGTTGACAAGTGAGGTCGCAGCTGCTGGCCCCGGGAGGACAGGTGCATGTGTATTTTGGACACCTTTAGTTACCTGAGCATAGAGACAGCACACCTGGCCAGGTCAGGGAGCTGAGAGAGGAGTCAAGCTCTTTGTCCTGAGTAGACAGCTCTCTGCCTGCCACACAGACCCCAAATGTGCCATCTTCTGAACCCCATGAAGGAAAACCAGAGCTACACAGAACTGAGAGCTGGCAGGACCCTCGGGACCGTCTCTTCTTCCCTTACAAGTGGTTCCAGGAGGCGCAGCGGGGGGCATTCACAGCCAGGGCACATGCCTGAGACCCTCGCAGGCGTTGCCAGGATGTCTGGGCTGTTCTGCCACTGAGGAGATCGTGAGGGCTCTGCAAAGGGCTTTCTCCCTCCCGACATACTTTGGGGTCCACTAATAGCCATCACGATTCTGAAAGGTCTTGACGCAGGCTCCTGTCCAAATGGGTCAGGAGGTTCCCGGGATCACAGGCACCCAGCTCCCTACCCGGCCTGAAAGGGCCAGGAGACAGAGCTGGTGTGAGGTGTGAGGAAGGTGTCCTTCCCAGTGTGGTCCTCTCCTGGAGCCTGACCTGCCAGGCACAGCTAGCTGCCACTCCCCAGGCAGCTTCTCGGCCTGCTTTAGGCCATTTTGCAGCTGAGGAGCCTGAGGCCCCTGTCCACTCACACACAGGTCCAGGGCCATTCTGGGAACTTTCTCCCTTCTGTAGAGACCCTGAGCCTGCATGGCACGCTGGGCCCTGCATCCTGGTCCCTTCAAGAACCCAGCCCCTCCCACTTTTTGGTGTCTTAGGAGAGGGTGGTGAGGGAACAGGCCAGGCGTCAGGAGGCAGTGGAAGGCAGACTTGGCAAGGGCCAGGTCCTGCCAACAGCCAGTCCCAGCCCCGCTTCTCTCCTGGTACCTGATGGGGCAGAGGAGGCACGGGGTGGGGGGGGAGGCGAAGCATCCCAGCACAGGCCTCCGGCAGCCTGAGAAGGGTGTGTGTGGGACCTGGGGAGGAGCCGGGGAGGAGGGTGGTGGGGCGGGGCTCCCTGCTGGGGGTCAGAGCAAAGCAGGACTTCCTGCCGGACCTTGGCCACTTGAGTGCTGCCCCTTCCTATCGGGGGTCAGTAGCAGGGACTGGCAGGGCTGCTGTAGCCCTCGGGGACTGCTAGAGGTCACACCCAGGGACGAGCCCGGGCCTGAACTTGGGGCTGGCCATGAGCAACTGTGCTCTGCCTGGTTGTCCCTCCATCCCCCAGGAACTGCACCCCAGTCCTCCTAGTCTCCTAGCCCCTGAGATACCCATATCTAGGCGAAGACTCACCTCTTTGACATGTTCTGAGGCCTCTCGCCTCCGCAGCCCAGCCTTCCTGCTGCTCCCTGGCGGGTGTCTGCACCCTCAGTGTGCAGCCGTCCCAACCACCCTTGTGCTCTCTGTTGGTCAGGGCCTGGTCACGCCCACGGGGTCCTGACTGTGCGCACACACAGGGAGCCCTCGGCAGGTGTTGTCTGGGTTTGCCGGTGCTCAATGGGGTCACCCAGCGCCTGGCACTAGATTCACCCCAAGCGTGTGACCACAGTAATTAGTCTCCTGCCCAAGCAGACCCACGGGCCATGGAAGGGCTGGGAGCCTCTGGGTTCTTACAGCTCCAGGTTCCTGGGCTCTGTCCACGCTGGTTGTGCAAGCCCAGGCCTCAGTTTCCTGGACTGCTCTCCTCCAGGGCCTCTGTGGGGAAAGGACAGCCCCTCCCCTCCGTCCAGCCCCTGCCACTCCTTGCCTTCTGCCTCCTGCCAGGCCCAGTGACAGGACACTGGCACTGGAGTAGCAGCCACATTTTCCTGGTCGTCACAGCAGGCCCATGGTCTGGGTCCCACAAAGGACCCCGCATGCTCCCTCACACCCGGGCAGCCTTGAAGGGGCATGGCCAGTGAGGGGCGGGGTGGGTCTTCAGCCTTGAAGGGGCACGGCCAGTAAGGGGCGGGGTGGGTCTTGGGTGGTGGTGATGCGGGCGGGGAGGGGCCCGGAGTACAGAGCCCCCTCCCCTTTCACCTCCTCAGCAAAGGGTGTGCTGGGGATCTTGCTCAGCCGGAATCAGCTTGCTTAGCAAGTACAAGGTCTTGAGTCCATTTTTCAGACCCAGAAAGAGAAACAAAGGATCAAACTCTGCCTTCAGTGGAGGTGTAGCTCAGTAGTAGAGCACTTGCTTGGCATGCGCAAGGCCCTGGGTTCCACACTTAACACCACAAAAAAGAAAAGAGGAAAAAAAGAACCAACTCAAACCAGCCCCTCCCCTTCCAGGCAGCCCAGTGATAGGTGGTGGTGGTAAACTGTTCTATCTGCAGGACGAGCTTGGGATATGGGGTAGGATTTGGGGTAGACACAAGGAAAGGCTTCCAAGGTAGCAGGGAGGCCCACATGATGTGGGTGTTCATTTTCCTCTCTTGGCTGTGGGGTAGAGGAAGCCAGGGTGGCAGACCCAAGATGACCAGATCGTGAAGGCAGGGTGAGCTGGCCTGAGGCGCGCACCGGAGGGCGGGGTGGCAGGCACAGTGGCAGCGGTGCAGGGGAGGCTGTGTGCCCCACAGTGCCATCCGGATGGGGTGCTGGTGAGACCCGGACCTGGAGAGGCCGAAGGAAGGCTGCAGTCACCAGTGCTGGCGATGGCCGGTGCTGTGCACAGTCTGCACATTCAGGCTCTGGTTCTGATGAGCGGCCATGGTGGTGACATGGCGGTATCTGTCCCCTGGTGGCCCTGGCCAGGGCTGTGGAGATGGGAGTGTGGTGGGGAGGGAGCTGCATGGCTCTGGTGGTAGTGGCGAGGTTGGGATATGGCCATGACGGTAACTGTGGTCTTGCCGGTGCTGTGGTAGGAGTCGTGTTAATGGTGTAGCAGTGCTGGATCTGGTGCGGAATGGTGATGACTCTGGCAATGGCTCTGTAATGGCCATGGTAGATGTGGCTTCGTTGGTGCTGGGTGTGGTGGTGGCGGTGGCGGTGGTGGTAATCTTGTGGCTCAAGGCTGGTGATGGTGGCGGTGCTGTTGGTGTAACAATGTTCGTGATGGCGGTGGTAGTCGTACTGGTGCTGGTGGTGCTGGTGCTGGTGTTGTCATTCATGGGATTGGAGGGGAGCCGGTGTCCCATGCCCCAGTAGGAGGCAGTCCCCTGTGCCGCTATGGTGAGGCCTTGGGGAGAAGCCTGTAGCTCGGCAGGGCGGGGAGGTCCCGGCCCTGGCCGGAAGCTGGACTGTCTGGGAGCAGGTCTGGAGGAGACGAGGCTTGTCAGGCTGGGCTGATGCCTGCTAGAGCAGGGAAGGCAGCTGCTGAGTGTTGAGCAGCACACTGGCTTGAGCTCCACCGGACAGTCAAAAAGCCTGGTTTGAGGGCATCTGGTATGGCCCTCGGCTGGGTGGTGGCAGGCCAGGCGGACAGGGCTCTAGGTATGCGGGCAAGGACCTGCATGAGGGGCGAGGGCTCAGGGCAGGTGTCCTCGGTGCTGGCTCCTGAGCAGGGGGTACAGTCAGGTGATGTGAGGCTGGCAGAGCCCCAGCACCCCAGGCCAGCTCATTCTTTCTGGGCTATGGAGGCAGAGTCACCCCAGAAGCCCCTCTTTTCTGGGCTATGGAGGCAGAGTCACCCCAGAAGCCCCTCTTTGCCTGACAGACATCTGTGTGCCTCTGGGCCATGCCTGGGATGGGGGTGGGAGTGGGGGAGGAGCTGCAGGCTTCAGGGGTGGGGCTACCTGTGCCTGGAAGGTCTGACTGGGAGCAGCTGGCGCCAGGCACAAGTGAGATTGGCATCTTGCGTGGTGGGGACAGGAGGTGACCCTGGCCACAGACCCGCGGCGCTGAGAGGCTCAGACAGCACCACCCCACAGGCAGGACGAGCCGTCTGGGCTTCACACGGCAGCTGAGACATAGACCCAAGCCCTGGGGTTGGAGGCATGGAGCAAAGGTCCCTCCTGCCACTGGTATCGCCCAGAGCTGAGCCTAAGGGGCTGGAGCGGATCAGGCCTTGGGGTTCTCACAGACTGGCAGCAGCACAGGACTGCGAGTGGAGGGAGCCAGAGAGACTTCCTGGAGGAGGCTGAGGCCTACAGAGCCCTGAAGGCTGAGGCCGGAGCGGCCAGGGGCCTGCAGGGGCGCGTGTAATGCACGATGCACCCAGCCAGGGCATCAGTAGGTCCTCCACACTGGCCTGTGCACACTTGTCCAGGGCCACATGGGGGGGGGCAGGAGAGGCGCGCCCACACAGCAGCAGGCAGTGCCGGCGGCAGGGCCGGCCACAGCACCGAGGAGCTTGTGGGAAGACGCAGGCAGGAAGCCTGGGCACCAGGCAGGCTTCCCAGACAGCATGCCGGTTTGGGTCTAGGGTAGGAGGTGGGCACTGCCAATAGGTGACACGTGGGGCGAAGGAGGCTGGGGTTCACGAGGGAGAAGGAACAGGGGACCGAGTCGAGGTGCACAGGCAGAAGCCAGCCTGGGAAGGGCCTCGAAGGCCAAGCTGAGAGGCCCCGCCTGCAGAGACATGGTTCTCACCCCCCCAGCGCCTGAGACGCCCCACTGGGCTGCACTGTGCCCACTCCCAGCTGCTCTCTGCTGTGTAGGAGGACGCCCTGTGAGTCATTCACACTGGAGTGTGAATTAGCCCATCAAATCCAAGGGGACCCCAGCAGTGCACAGTCCCATAATAGCACCCACTCCGTGGGCTGGCAGGCAGCATCACGATGCAGAGAAGGCTCCCGCTTGGTGGACAGGAGGTGGGCTCCGTGTCCCCTCTGTGTTACTGTCCCTTGGTGTCCCTTAAGTCTGTGTGGGCTCTGCCGGGCCTTGTCACCCTTGTCACCAGGGAGATAGAGGCTAGGGGACAGAAGCAGGCAGGGGGACAGAGGCAGACAAGAGGCTGGGGGACAGAGGCAGGCTGGTTGAGGGTTTGGGGCTGGTTTCGAGCCCAGTGTGGGAAGGCTAAATGAGCTAGACAAGGCGCCAGAGGGCAGGCCTGTCATCCTGAGCAAAAGCCAGGGGCTGCTGAGCTCAGCACCTGGCTCAAGGCCTCCAAGTGGGCAGTGCAAGATCGGCGTCCTCCCTCCCTGCCCGTTGGTGCCTGGCGTCTGAGCTGCGCCCTGCTGCCACGGCTCTGCCTGCACCCGGCAGCTGTGTGCTGCCCAGCAGGATTCTCACTTGGGCCAGTGGAATGAGCCAGCAGGAAGTTGCCCTGTGGGTTTATGGGCATGGAGGGCACTGGAGACCTTGGCGGGAGTCAGTGGGAACAGTTTCTTCGGTGGGGCCACTTGTGGCCTGCAGAGGGGTAGACAGCCACTGGGACCCCAGTCCTCTGCTCTTCTGGTTCTGAGCATGTCACTGCCCCCTGACTTCTTTCCTGAAGCCACTGAGCCAGGGATCAAGTGTGACTGACCCAGATTTCCTGGGTTCTAGGCGCAGGAGGGGGAACCTGGCTCTGTGACCCAGATAGTGCAAGTTTTCTGTAACCCAGACGAGAGGCAGCAAATGGTCTCCCACGTGCAGGAGCTGGGTGACCTGCCCGCATTGCAAAGGTGGGAACAGCGCCCCGGGCTGCAGGAAGGATTGCAGTCAGACGAGGGGAGAGCTTCTCGTCAGGACTTGAGTAGAAGAGAGCCCTCAGGGTTTCTGACTGGCTCCACATGACCGTGTGTCTCAGATGCACACAGACAGCCTCATGTCGCAACCCTCCCCCACCCCACATCTTGCACGAAGACTTTCCCTAGCCCAGTCGGGGGCTGCTAGAAAGGCCCCGGTGACCCGTGGTAAGTCTTCCCGTACCGGTTCTGGCTTGGATGGGCCAGGCCGTTCAGTGCCCATCTCTGATTCCCACGCTGTCCCAGTTGCAGGCTGCCTTGATGATCCCTTTAGATCTTGTCCAGTTGGGGTTCAGCTGTAGATGTGCCGGGGGTGGGGTGGCTAAGTGGAGCAGAGCTGGAATCTAGGCCCCGCTGCTGTCTTGCTGTGTGGCCTTGGACAACGGCGGCTTGCCGGGGCCCCGAGTCCTTCATCTACAAAGCCGGTCTGAGTGCTGCTGGGAACGGGCGGCGGGGAAGGCCTCCGTGCAGGAAGGAAGCTGTTTATTATTGGGGGTGTGTGGGCGGGTGAGGAGCTGGTCCCCGCTCAGGACTGCACATTGGGGTGCTAGGGAGAGGAGGAGGCTGAAGCTGGGCCCCCATCCTGTCCTCTTCTAGGCAGTGCTGCCCACCTGCCCTTGCCAGCCCGGCCAGCCGTTCTTGGAGCGGTGGGGGCGTCTGTCCTCCACGGCCTTGCAGCAGGTGGATGGCAGAGCCTCTTTGGCCTACGGGAGGCTGAGGAGATAACTGATGGCCCCGCAGCAGCCCTGGGGGCCAAGCACCAGGCTGGCAGTCTCCCAGGTAGGGACCAGCAGCTGTGAACCTGGCGCCCTGTGGACCTGCTGGTGTGGCTGGGAATCTGCCAAACTGCCAGCTCCCTCCGCCAGCCCGGCTCCTCTCACCCTGGCTCAAGGTGCTGTCGCAACTCAGTCTTCCCGAAGCCCCCGGGCAGCTGGGACAAGTTGAGAGCTCAGAGCAGGAGGGCTGGCAGGGCTGGGCCATGGCCCCAGCATTGCGTGGCTCCAGAGTTACTCTCTGAAATGCCGCCCCCCCCATGGGCCATGCAGCACATGGGGTTTTCCTGGAGCATGGGCCTTGCTGGTGCTTTGTGACCATACTGACAGCCGGCCGTCCATGCCTGAGGACACTGCAGTCAGCAGGGCTCGATGGCTCTGACCGGTGGGGTACAGGGGACAGGGAGATGGGGGGAGGGCACCTTGGCAAAGTTCTAGCTGTGGAGGTCAGGGGACCACTTGGAGCTTGGGGGCTCTCCAGGGTCCCATGCCCCGCGTTGCCCAGCTCTGTCCATCTGTGGTCAGAGGACCCACAGTCTCCTTTAGGGATGTCTTGAATGTCTCTGCCCTGGTTGTGACTGGGTGTCCTGTGCTGTGCCGGTGGCAGGCCCCCAGGTGGGGGCTGTGGTTGACACTGAGGGCTTGTGAGGTCAGGATGGGACAGGCGGAAGGCTCAGAGGCAACCTGGGAGCCAAAGTGACTTGGGGCCTTCCATCTGTTCTTCTACGTACTTTGTACTGTTTCTGTAGACAGAGAGGGCCCTCACTGGGAGGAGTCCTGGCCTCCAGCAGTGGAGGCCAGAGCCATGTGCTGACTTCAGGGTGGGCAGGAGGTCCTGGAGTCACTAACCCGGAGCCAACCCCGCAGAGCCCAGGCCAGGCCCTGCCACCTTGCCCCCACAGCTGTGGTTCTGGTCTGGAGCAGGGAAGTGGAGGATTGCAGGTGCTAAGGTATTCCAGGGTCCCTTCTCCCCAGACCTGATCCCGAGCGCAGTGTAGCTACCCAGAGCGCATAGAGAGATGGGCATTCAGGCTTTCCGCTCAGCGCAGCCCCCGTGCCCCGGGGGCCCCCTCCCCTGGACAGATGAGGGAACCAAGTCGGGGAGGGTAGGTAACGAGGTTCGGAGGCAGCCCTCATGCTTCCGGAAAGCCCTTCCCAGGCCAGGCTTGCAGCAATTCTGGAATCAGCAGCTGGACAGCGCCTGTCCACAGTACAACCGGACAAGGCCTGTTGGGGCTGCGGCTTCCGGGCTGGCGGGTGCAGCAGGGGTGGGCTGCCCGGAGGAGCAGCTTCAGCCACCTTCCCCGGTGGGATGCGGAGGAGACCCAGGCTCTGCCGAGGGAGGGGCGGGCCCACAGACAGGGGGCTCCCGCCAGGCCTCCTTCCCAGAAGCGGCTCCTGTGTGTTGGTCTGCCCTCCTCTGTCAGGCAGCCCGGGGCTGTGGGCTCGGGCTGCCTGGGGGGCTGGCGGCGCTGGCGCTGGCGCGGGGAGGAGGGGCTGGCA